TCTATTCGTATCTTCAGTTTTGGACCGCGAGAATTAAATATTGTGTTAGTCGATATCGCATCAGATAGTCAAGTCAAGTTGAAAGGTTGCATAATGTCTTGGCCTCATAAGTTGATAAGGAAAAAGATTTTGTATCCGGTATAATAGTATGTCACGTACCACTGACTTTTACGTGGTTTTCAACATGTCTTGCATGATGCTATTGAGAAACAACGCAATAAGTCACCGAGTCAAAGGAGGATGTCATGTTGGTTGATACTAATTCATTTCCCCTATGTGTCTGGCATAAATATAGTTAGCCCATAATTCTTCAAAATTGAGCTATCACGTTTCAAGATGGTGTTGAACACACGACCTCAACAAGGGAGCCTTAGTATAACTAATGAACAAGGCGGTCCATCGTATGGAAGAAGCTAGAAAGACATAACAAACCACCCCCTCTCTCTAATCATCAGTTTCTTATGTCATTGATGATCGTCCAACGCACAAAGCATCAAACAAGTAGGAAAAATAAACAGTCCAATATGTACATGGGCGCTGGGCCGTGCTTGGGCCAATATGGCACGAGCACGCTTTGAGCCCATTTATTTCGTGTCGTGCTTGGCACGGCCCGCCAGTTTTCGTGTCGTGCCGTGAAAGCCCATTTGTTAACTTTGCTAGGCCTGGCCCAGGCTCGAGCACGACTCGAATAGTGTCGTGCCTATTCGTGCTCGTGTCGTGCTCGTATTCGTGTCTAATGAAAATGAAGAAAATAAAAGAGAGAATGAAAAAGAAGGTGAACAATTGGAAGAAGAAAGATAAAATTAACCGAGAATGTTTGAGAAAAGTAATAAATAAGGGGGAAAAGAAAATTGGAAGTATAGCGGGTGTGATTTGGCTTTGTTTAATTCTTTGTCTATTTTTACTTATGATACTAATTACGTATATATCTTTATGAAACTTCTAAAAACAACAAATAATTATTTCTCTACTTGTATTTTGTAATATTTGAACCTATAATTCTTTTTATGTTTATTTTCTATGAAATAAATGTTATTTTTGTGCCATGTCCATTCTTATACTCAATAAAATCTCAAAAATATTAGGGCCAACATGACCCACTTATATACCGTGCCCGTGCTCGTGCCCATGAAGTTTAGGCCCGTGCTAGCCCATAAATTATTCGTGCTCATACCGGGCTGGCCCATTTATTTCGTGCCCGTGATCGTGTCATGCTCTAATCGTGTCGTGTCGTGCTAGCCTATGGGCGGCCCGGTGCCCACGTACAGTCCCATAACACTACGGGAATGAGAGTTTTAAAAGGATTTAGTACGTATAAAAATATTATATTTATAATAGACGAATTTTTACCAGCTATATTATATGATGTGATTGTATTTTCCTTTAGTAATCGCTTTAATAGATCGTACTTTTAGTTAGTTCATTAAATAGAAAACCAAACTAATTATCCTCAACCTATTTCCATATCCTTTAGCCTATAAATACAAAATATTATCCTAATTCTAAGGGGTCGTTTGGTAAGCACGTAATGTAGAATTCATGTATTTGAAGAATTCATGTACATTGTAGGTTGAGTTGTGAGAATTTGTGTAATATTAGAATGCATTGTTTGGCTTGCATGAGTTCATGGTAGAACCCACATAATTTGGCATGAAATCTCAAATACTTTGGGTAAACCCAAAGCATTTGAGATATCATAGTCACATGAATTCTAGAATTACATGGTGCACCAATATCATGATATCTGTCCAAAAATAAAACAAGAAAAACAGTGGAATCTCAGATATCATGTAATCTTGAAATCCGTGGGTAGATTACATGCTTACAACCGTAATATAAATTTTACACCTATAATATAGCTAGTAAAATACAATAAGGATAAATCAAGAAACAATTAATGACATGTATGCTTCTTCATGTTTAAACTAATAGTACGTTCAATAATACCTTAATAGTCGTAAAAGAGGGGAACATATCAGGTCAGTAATCTTATGGTGAGTTACCATGAGTAACCCGTCCATATCATGTAATCTTGAAATCCGTGGGTGGATTACATGCTTACAACCGTAATATAAATTTTACACCTATAATATAGCTAGTAAAATACAATAAGGATAAATCAAGAAACAATCAATGACATGTATGCTTCTTCATGTCTAAACTAATAGTACATTCAATAATACCTTAATAGTCGTAAAAGAGGGGAACATATCAGGTCAGTAATCTTATGGTGAGTTATCATGAGTAACCCGTCCATATCAGCATGACATCACTATCCCTCTCTCTTCTGGAAAGTCTTTAATTTTCTCTTCCTTAATCTTTGACAGACGATTTCTCACTCGTTTTAAGTTGAAATTTTATTTTTTTTGCACAGTTAGATCAGATTAATTGTGCTCTTCAAAATGATATCCACTTTGATACATTTTTCAAACAAAAAAATTGAATCATTTGTTACCAGTCTATACCATATGGTATTGACTGGTATTGAAATAAGAGTGTACATATGGTTTAAAAAGCGTACCATGGTGGCATGAACAAACCAAGACTATAGGATGGTTGAATACATGATAGTAGAAGTATATTAACTGTCATTTACGACTTTTAACATTGTGTACCACTAGATACCACCCCGTACCAGGGGTGGTATTGTATGGTATTGTGTGATATTTTTTGGTCCTGTAATTTGTTCACCCAGAAATTTGTAAATCCAATAGATCATGATGAACTCGTTCCTTCTATGCAAACGTTTTCAAAAACGAATTAAAAACGAAGAAAATACCATATGGTATGCAGTTGGTACCGAGAAGCAAGAAATTTTTTTTCTAAAAAAATATTGAAAATGGATCCCATTTTGTAGAGTACAACGAACTCGTTCCATCTGTGCAAAAAAATTAAATCCGAGTTAAAACGAAGAAGATATGAGCCGATTAAGAAAACTAGAGAAAATAAAAATGATCTTTAATTCTCTATCCTTAAATCTGGATTTTCTAAATGAAGGGTCCAAATTTAGTTATTGATGGGTGCATAACCCATGGTTATGCACCCTATCTTGAGCCGTAAAAGAGAAAGGCGAAAAGTAAATGCGCGTAGAATACATGTATATAAGTATTAAACACTAATAATACGATCTTTATACAAACAACATGGAGGAATATATTTGAAATTTATGGGGAAAAAATGAGTTATTTCCAAAAGATGGACTCACCAGTAATGTGAGAATGACTCGTGAAATTAAATTACTCGTTTTTTTTTTTTTTTTTTTTTTTTTGTAAATGAGTCTGTTTCGTAAGTGAGTTTTTCAACCAAAATATAATTTGATACAATAACTCATTCAAATATACTGCACAACGACTAGTTCAAAGTTGAATGAATTCATCAACAAAAGAGATCCTCAAAGGGGAGGCCATGGCTCCAAAAATGCGGCAGCATCTTCCTGGGTTTAGGGTGGACGTACCAAGAAATCAATAATAATAAACTCTTAATTGACTGCCGTTTGAGCCTATCAGTCACTTTCAAAGTAAAAGATTTAGCTTTATATAAAAAAAAAGATTAAGCAAGGAAAATAATAATAGTATATATATTATTAGTGTGTTATGATGAATCATGTTTGCAGATCCCAGCTGGAGTACACTATTATAAATAAATTATGAAACCAAGAAAATATATTTAAAAAAAAAATGATGCTGGAAGAGGCAGGAGATTCCTATCAAAACTTAATTCTTCCAACAAAATACAAAAGTTTATTTTAAAACTTATTTTGTGTGAAGTGTTATTTTACAACTGCTGGCTCCAACTGTGAAACTGTCATAACATCTAGAAGTATTATTTTGTTCATTGTAAGCATTTAAATTTATGTAATCGAGACACTTGCAAAATAAAATCATAACATCTAGAGGTTCATAAACTAGTCAATCTAACAATCTCCCTTCTGATAATCTAACATGTAGAGGTTGAATTCGAAGAGTAGTATGTCAGGCAAATTCTCTGTGGTTGACATTGATCAATGTTGTGGATGGAGTTGGATCCAATGGATTTGATGTTGCTCTCTTTAGCTATTGGTGCCCTGCTATCATGTGAACTTGTTCAATAATATTTTGGATTTGCTAAAACAAGTGACAAATCATAATGAACCTGGCTTAGCAATCTCTGAAACTACTTCGAAATTGTGTTCATTATGATGTTTTCATATGCACAAGGTGATAAATCATAGTGAAACTTGTTCTTACATGCTTGGTAGATATGTTGTCTTGATAGAACACAACATTAACCTCGCTAGACAATATTCAATCAACCACACATCACTACTGGTGAAAGGGTAGTCACGAGCCATTTAGATCGCTGTCTCAAGACTCACTCTACAGATAGGGCAATGGGTTATCACGACCAAATGGCGAGGTCTCATCTAGCGCTCGATGACATATGGTCATGGCACATCCAACAAATGAATACTTTAACTCACAACAGACTTTTGTTCGTCTTGCCGCTAATTTGTCTTCGATTTTGGGCTCAATCACTAAGGAATAGTACGATATGTTCGAGAATGTTCCACTTTAGAAGATGGACTAGGACACGAATGAACTAAGCTAAACACACCATTAAGCCAATTCTTGATAGAGAATCATATCGTTTTACTATTACTCCTATTTTAAATGACTTCATAGTCGAGACGATTCTTAACACCTATCTCTATAAAAAATTAATCAAACGAATTATCGAAATACATAACACCCTCATATGATCACATATACACCACAAAATTTCAATGCTCTAACAAACAAGAATTTTCTATTAAAGACCAATAAGAATTTTAAACTTCCTTGAAATATTCAATTAGGATGAGGATGATAATGTCATCTAAACTATATTTTCTTTGTAGTTATCTCTTATCACCATCCACCATTTTATTTAATTAATTTCACTTAACTATTTTGATAATCCCTGTAGGACCCATGTTTGGGGGAAAAAAGGAGTAAATCCTAAATCACTTTTTTTTAGACGAGGAGGCGGAATGCACACGACATTCACATGCTTAACGAAAACTCATTTTCTTGCAAAATTTAATTTCCAGTTCGTTTCAAACAATTTTGTCTCTCTCTCCCACAGCCACTTCCTCCTCTGTTGTTTTGCCTTCCCCTATTTTGGTCGCCTTCCCTTCCCCTCTCTCTCTATATCACAGTGCTTTGCTCTGTGTAAAAGGGCTGAGCTTCGGTTCTCTTTCTTCTACCCATTTATTGATTCAGGTACCCTTCTATCTCCACTCTCCTTTTTCTTCTCCTTCTGTTTCTCTGATTTGGTAGATTTTGTGATTGCTTCCTGGATTTCTCAATCTTTTTTTTTGTCTTTCTTTTATTTAATTCTTGCTATTTCTGGCTGAGTTTTGATGTTTTTGTTTCTGGGGTTTCAATTAATTTGGTTAGACTGATGATTTGAATCTCAGTTATTTGAATCACTCATTGTTTTGCGGTTCGACGCTGTTGAGCTATAGTGGGTTGTTCTTAATTTTCTCAGAAGTTTGAGGATTTGCATGCATGGTGTGTTGAGGGGCGGATCTGGGTGTTCTTGGTTTAGTTGCTTGGAAAGAAATATAGGAGGAAGAAGAAGATTTTGTAAAATGAAATTCTGGGTGCTGCTGACTGGTCAATTGTTTATTTATGTTCAATTTCTGGGGAAATCTGGTTTCTTTCTTCCCCAGAACAACTGAGCTCTTGATTATGCTGTTAAGAGTTTGGTCAGCTCTTCTTTTCAATTTGTTTTTCTTTATGGTGTTCAGAACTGTTGTGATTGTAGGAAATTGGAAAGAACAGTTTTGTTTTGTATTTTATTACAGTTTTTTACTAGATTAAGGTGTCTGTGTGGTTTGGGGCTTAGATCTGAGTAAAAACAGCAGAAGTTTCGGGGGAAAGAGGCTGCTTTAAGATGTGGATTGGTTTGTTTGATTTGTTAAATTGCTTGAATATTGCACCATTCGATCTATCTGTCTGTTGAATCCTTGTTTTTATCAACCGAAGTTGTCTTGAGCTTTGTTGTGTATTTACCACCTTATAAACACGTCTGATGTTATTCCAATCACTGTGAAAGAACGAATTAACAAAGGTGAGCCCGCAAACTTGATTCGGATTTAACAAGGAAGATGTACCTATTATATCAACCTGAATTTACCTTACTAGTTCAGTTAGTTTTCAGAGGTATGAGTAATTTACTCTGAACTATGTGATGAGTCTGAGTCTGTGGCTACTATGCTTGGCATCAGTGGGATTTCTTATAGCTCGTGTTTAAACCGAGCTTATCTTTCTCAGGCTTGTTCACTTTTCATGATATCAAGTTTTGTGCTCACAGGTTGTTGACCCAGTTGCTCTTTTGTGCTGGTGACTAATGTGACAAGTGCTGTTAATCATCATCAGAAGTGAAAACCGGAACAATTTCTTGTACTCTCCTGCAGTGAAAGCTCCTTGATATCCAGAATATGGAGGACGAGAATGGACTTGAGCTTAGCTTGGGTCTAGGTTTTGGTGGATCCTCCTCCAAATCTAAGGGTAAAAGTGAAAGCTCCTTGGATATTAGGATAGAAGATGAGAAAGGAAACAAACCGAAAAACGATTTGAATGTTCTTCTTAGCAGTAGCTCTCAGAAGCAGGAGTCAAGCTCTGGATCTCATTCTCAGAGGAACGATTCGATAAAGCCACAAGAGAACTTCTTCCTTGACCTCACCAGTAGAAATGCTGATGCTGATGCATCCATAAGCCTCGGTGCTCGGGGTCTTTGGGCAGGATCTAGTAATAATAGATCCACAGAAATTGAAGAAGAGAAAAGGAGTGAAGGGATTGTTAACAAACGTAAACTTGATTTTGAGGACATAAGCGCTCAGAAGAAGCCGGAAAGAGATGCTAACCGGGTCGATTTTCATGACAAGAGAACATCTCATGTTTCTCTAATGGAAGAAGGATCTACTGCTGAAAATGAAGTTGTAGCAGATTCAGAAGTCGAAGGTTCAACCTCGAGGTTTCTTGATGAGGGCTCCAAGCAGCGGTTTGTAGGAGTTGGTGGTCCAGATGCTCCAAAGGAGTTTCAAAGGTTTCCTGATGTGAGTACCACGGAGTTGCATGGTCAAAGAAGGCCTATTGGTTTGCCTGAAAATGAATCTAAACACGGGATGAATTTTGGGGTCCCGTTTTCAGTCCAACCAGCAAACATCATGAGCATGTCCTACCAATATCCAACGAAAGATTCCAACCCAGTTGGCGCAAGCATGACGCCAGTAGTTTCTACATCAAATGGCGACCAGCGAATGGCGGTCCACGCAACGAATTCAGGCAGTTCATCAATAGCTTTCGGCTACTCGCCTGTGCAGCTTCCAACTCTGGATAAAGATAATTCGTGGGGCTTGATTTCTCAGCATCAACATTTTCATCCTCCTGCAACCTTGGATAATAAACACCATGAAGGACTCAGAATTTCTAAAGGTACTTTTGTTCATGCTGTTATTGTGGTTTTCTTCTTTTATAATAGAGCACTAAACAAGATGGTCTAGTGAGATCGTTAAAATCAAGAAGACATGACCCATGCTCTTGCTGCCATGCAATCGGCCGTCGCTGACTCCACTGTTTAAACTTACAGCCATGCAAATAATTGGCCGAAACCCCTCTGAGGCTGCACAATATGACGCAAGAGTGTTCGATCGGCCCAAAGGTGATGGTGGCAAACAACATGGTGTAGATCAAGAAGGCTCCTCCTCTCAGGCCGAAGATGAAGGAAAGGGCAGCAGCAAACCAAACCGTCGAGCAGCACCAGAAGACGGGTTGTCTCATGACTTCTCAGCCATAAAGCCGGGAATTTCTCCCGAGGTAAAGATTGGAGGCTGCGGGTCCTACCCAAACCTACCATGGGTTTCCACCAAGGCTCCAGGCCCAAACGGTAGGACGATATCAGGCGTGACTTACAGGTTTAGCCCTAGCCAGATAAGGATCGTATGTGCTTGCCACGGTACGCACATGTCCCCAGAGGAATTCATCCGCCATGCGAGCGACGAGAATGTCTCCACGGGAGACGGTAACAATGGTGGGTTAGCGTCGGCATTTCCAGGTATCAACAACCCATCTGCTTCTGCTCATAGCTGAGAGTGTGTAATGAACAGACCGAACACGTTGTTGTTAACCACGGAGAAGAAGTAGACGATAGGGTATCAGTTCAAGTAACCAGCTTTTGTATACTGTTAGAGATCCCCATACTCCATTTTTTTTTTTGTTTCCTCCTTGCTTTGCTTGCTGCGTCATTTCAAATTGTTGTGGTGTTGATATAGTTGTTGTGATGATACTCATCTGTCTGTTACTCGCTGCAACGAGTGTGTTGCGGGTTTGTGCTGTTCTCTAATTGACATGAGTAAACGTTGTGGCTATCGTGACTCGTAAGGAAACTCGGAAGCATGATTACCATGCAGAGGTTTTTGCAACTGAGCTAGGTCCAGGTTGGCAAATGGCTGTTAGCAGCACATTGTGTTTCCATTTCGTTGCAGGATTCGAGCAGGAGAAAACGAGATCTGTATGTTCCGTTGGTAAGTCTTGTTTCATCTTTACGTTTATACACAGTGAGTTTAGGGTTACTGTGTCGCTGATATTCTGCTACTTCCAAGTTAGTGTCAACTCTTAACGTAGGATATCCAATGCAAGTGTCTTGTCTCTTTCGAAGTTGACTAAACCAGAAAACCAGTAGTGTCGTGCTTGGCTAGGTAGGTCCATTATTACCTTCTCTAATGGCTCTTCTTTGGTTGACTTTTTTCTTCTTCCCGAGAATGGAAATAGAAACTGCTGTTTCATTCTCGGCAGAAGAAACAAAATTTGCGGAAATTTGGATTCTCTTGTTTTAATGTCTGTTGTTTTGTCGATGGCGGTTGAAGGAAATTGAAAGGCAAGGAAGAAGAAAACCAGGCTAAAACAAAACTTGATCGTGTTTTGTCGATGTCCGTTGACCTTTTGCTCGGCGTGTTTAATAATATCGACCCTAGGAAAGAAACGTCTGCCCGTCTCTCAAAGTCTCACCAATCCATTATAATAATTTAAGGGAGTATGAATTTTGGATGCACATAATAATATCATCATCCATTCGTCTTAAAAATGATGTTGACCTTCAATTGTGTAACAATGAACAAGAAGCTAGGCCCGTTTAGTATTGTTGTTTGTTTTTTTTCGTGTTGTGTTTTAAGAAATTTGGAAAATTAAGAAAAAAAAATTGTGTTTAGTTGGGTTTTTATTTTTTGTTGTGAATCAGAGTTGCACAACAAGGCCCAAATATGAGAAACAAAAATTTATAGCTTTGGATCTGATTCTTAAACATGTTGCACACGGGATTCCTACTGGTTGGGCGTTTGATTTCATTAAAACAGACTAGTTTTCGAATCCCCATAGAAGCAAATTTTTTTTTTTAACACCACCCCCAAACCCTACTTCAGCCGCCCCCAACCTCTCCAATTTTGTCTCAAACACAGGCGCCGCTCTCCCCTCCAGCCATACACGCCGGCCCCTTCTCCCCACTCCACGCCAGGCACCTCCGCCCTCCGACCTCCGCGCCTCCCGACCGACTGCCTCCGCCCTCCGACCCGCCGCCGCCGCGACCTCCCCTCCCCTGCTCCTTCTCCCCACTCCACGCCGGCCACCTCCGCCCTCCCGACCCTCCGACCTCCTGACCCTCCGCCTCCGCGCCTCCCGACCGGCCGCCTCCGCCCTCCGGCCCGCCGCCGCCGCGACCTCCCCTCCCCTGCTCAACAGCCGTCGCCGGGCCTCCCCTGCTCAGCAGCTCAATCCATGTTTCCTTTGCTGTATATTGAGAAATGTTCTTATGATTTTTCGTTACAAAGAACTAAACGCGTTTCTGTTTTTTGTTGTCGATTTCTATGATATGTCATAATTACCAACTAAACATGTTTTTGTTTTCTATTTTTATGTTGTTGTGGTTTCTCTTGTGTTACACAATCATACTAAGTGAATTTACGTGAAAGATTATTTACCATTCACTTGTATTTTAAGTGTTCAGGAAACTGGCTTACTACATCTTCGAAAATTCGAAAATGTACCCCTAAATGCTGAAGACGTTCTTCTCTGACATTGTCATATCGCCAGTCACACTATGGAAGCTCGCCATACCCGAAGTCTGGCTTGCTTTTAACCTACCTCTTCTTCTCCCACATCATGATTCTACTACCTTGATAGGCATTTTGAAAACTCTTTGTGATGGTAATTAGATGCATGCATGTAGTTTATGGTCCCCTCCATCTCTATTTACTCCAATTCGATCCCCTTTGGTGGTTAGCTAGCTAGTCTTGTCTCTTATCATACTTTATTATTAAACTAAAACGAGGATTAGGACGATCATGTCAACTCCTTGCGCTATTGGCCTTTCTAATTAATTGCGTTTGAGTTGATAATAACATTCCACATTTTATATTTAGTGGCTGAGTATGACTGCATTGCAAGTTTGAAATTCAATACTGAGAAAAAAAATTGTTGGCGGGTCAATGCTTCGGTACTTGACAAACACAACGTAATTGAAGTAGTTATGCTGCGTGTTTAATATGATCAATTCATAGTAAGAACTTGATAACGGTTCGTATATCTATCTCGTTTGTCATTCTAAGAGAGCAGTGTAAACATTTGTATAAATTATGATGTATATTATGGAGTAAAATTATTCGACGAGGGGAAGGCTGAACAATGGTAAATACTACTGAATATATTCTATAGTAATTTAAGAACAATTCGTGTCTATTTTCGTTTGTCGTCTTAAAAAAGGAGTGGAAACAAATGCACCAGGTACATTATATATTATGGAGTACAATTATTCGACGAGTAGAAGGAAGAACAATGATCAGTACTATTGAATTCTAAGAACGATTCTTGTCTATTTCGTTTGACATTTGATGAGAGGAGCGAAAAACGATTGCATCAAAATTCAATGGAGAGCTCCTTTATCTGTTGAACTAAATGCCATACATTACCGAGTCGCCTTACCAACTACAGTTTCAGATTTTTTAAAATCCAAATTCACCTACTAAGAATAATCTTCAACATTCAACGGATAGGAGATTATGTTATTTCCCAAATGAACGAATGTTTAATTTTGATTAAGCGTGGTAGGCGACGTAAGGCATGAAGAATGATCGATTTTATAAAGATTTTTTTTTTCTGTTTCGATGCAATTCCATTGAGTTCCATGTACAAGTACAGTATATATATATATATATATATAATAACTTCAATGCAATCCAATATTGTTCCATGCATTGACCATTAATGATTTGTCAAGTCCAACTTTCATTGGGTAGGGTGGGCATGCTCTGGTCCGACCCGTTACCAACCCAAGTACTGAGGAACAAAGTCGATCAAAAGTGTATTTGATCCGATTCGAATACCAGTTTTTCTTTCTAGTTCATAAGAATTTGTGTAATCGAAATCGAATTGAAGTACATATGATTCGCTTTGATATTTGTACGGTTTCTCGTTGGATTGGATTAGGTTTGCTCTTCTAAAACCAATAGGTATTTTAGCAAAATTTTTTAAAAAATTCACCCACTGGGCCGAGTTTTAATTTAGAGAAATGAGATCTAACCCGACTCTTTGTCAACCCTAGTTACAAGTTACGACTTACAACCACAAGCATCGGTGGAGCTAGATTGAAGTTTTTGAAAGACAGGTAAAATTACATGTAAAATTTACACAAATTCAAGAATTAAAATAATCGGTAAGACTTTAGCTTGCCCTCCCCCAATTAAGATAATTTAAATCAGTCTCCTTGTTCGAATTTCTGGCTTCGTCACTGACTCACGTAAGTCAAATCGGCCGGCTTGTGGTCGGCGCCAGGGATGGGTGGCCTGCCTCTGCCTGTGTTCAGTCGTCGTCAGTAGTCCCTCCAGGTCCAGACTTCCCACTCTGTGACTCTCGTGGTGGTGACAGCGTGATGGGCTTCTTCGTCAAACCAAGATCTTCGGCCCAGGCCCACCAACACCACCCATGTGGTAAATCGTGGGATTCTGTTGAAGTCGTCGTCATCATCATGGGTAAGAATAAGACTACTCCTTTGCTATCCTTGTATCTAAAACTAAGCCTCCATAGTCCATTGTAGAAAGAACATTCCCAGAAAACGACTATCTAATGGTGTGCACAAAGAAAAATTTAGTAGGATGATGCAGACTTCTCATTGCAAGTTCATCTCATTCTGATAGGACACTTGGTTGGTGTCCGCCTAATTGAGAAGTATCGTGTTGGAATCTTCTGGAGGGTGTGCAGCGGACCGATTTGGTGCAGATCGAATCAAACCATGAGAATCACGGTATAATAGAAAAAAGAAATCTTATGATTAAGTGACATATATCATCATTGCACTCGGTCCCGTTCGATCTGATCCAAATCTCTAGTTGAACAATTTTTTGCTTAAAATATTTATAAAATTAATGAGATCACCATTGTTATAAGAACCGACCCAGATCAATGGTCGGGCCAGTAGAACCGCTCAATCATTTACAATAGTGGTTCGGTTCATTATTTGGAAGGTTATTGATGGACCAAATGATTCTTCACGGTTCAACATAAAATCAAATGAACCACCACGATCTAACTGGTCCACTGGTTCATTATTTTAACAAAAAAAAAAAAAAAAACTTTAGCATAAACTAAGACCATCAAACCATAATTATTATTTTTATATATGCTTCCTCTTATCATTACAACATTGTTGTCGACTTTACGTTGTCCACTACTTGCTGGCACCGCAATTTTTAATTTTAATAAAAAATATGATTTTTTTAGATGATTTGAATAATTTATTAGATAATTTGGTGATGATATGAAAATTGAAATTGTCTATGGTCATTGATAACTTCATTTTCAAATTAGTGCAATGATTTTGTAACGGTTAATCACTAAACCCTAAACCCTAAATCACTAACTTTTCTGGTTCAAACCTTTCATCCGATTCTGAAAACAAAGGAGATCACAGATTGAATCGCATCCGTCACGTACGAAACCGAACCTAACGTTTGACTAAAGGGGGTAAAAAATAAAATTTGTTCCCCTTGGATTTTGCCCTAGGTACAGGCGTACAGCCGTCATTCCTGTAGGTGTATTTTCCTTTGAGGCCTCAAGCTAAAAAGAGATATACCACATTTGGATTTATCTGCCTTTTCACCTTTACCTTTCTGTCATATTCATACATGTATGAAGAAAATGATAACAATAACAATCCACTAAAATCCACAATTAGTAGCCCAAATCCCCTGCTTTAACTACTTCAATAATTCAATCCATAGATCACAAGTATACATTATTGATTGATCATATAAACAATAAAAATAAGCAAAAAAACTTCCCCTTTTCCCCACCTCCTCTCCATTTCATCTTCAAATCTTTTTGTATTCCTATTATATATAGACACTAGACACCCCCTTTAATAAAAAGAACAAAAGCTTGAAATCACTTTCCCTTCTCCATTCATTATTGAAACCCCATAAGAGATAGAAAAGATAGTACAAATTTATATTTGTACTTCATTAACACTTGATTGGCGTTGTGTATGGTGTTTAAAAATGTGTTTAGAGATAGAGAATTAGAAAAGTTATTTCGCAGACAGAAAAACGTATTAACGACTATCACTCTTATAGAGAAAAATCGTGATTATCCATCCGCGCTACTCATCTGTAGCAGAGATATGCTACCTCCTCGTCGCATACTGACATGTCTGGTCAAAGCATGTTTATCGTGAAATCAACTTTGTTGCTTATTATCGTGCTTTGTTACGACAATCGGTTTCGTTGAGAAATAATATCTCCACATATAAAGGTCACATAATCACAGTTCGATTGAGTCGACAATAGGCTAAACTAGAAATAAAGAAAAAAACGAGGACCAAATACAACGAGAAAATGCATTTGTTACTATCAGAAGAGGTTCAAACATCATCTAATTCGTTTGATATAATATGATCAACGATAAAACCAATAGAACTCGAGTTATTACCATCATCTTAGCAATATTATATATTGATCCGATATGAACGGGATTGTTGGACAACCCTATCCACGTATATACCGCCCTGTCCCAAGAAAAGCCTCGCAACAAGTAAACCAACAAATCAAATCAGGCATTTCCTGCAAACAAAAATCATATAAAAACCAAACCCACACCTCAGCTCATAAAAACTCCCCTTCTGTTCTCCCTTCCAAATCCCAGCCATTATTCCCGGAGAAATCCCCGCCGGAGAAGAGTGCACGACACAGTTTCCAGCACCATCATTCCTACAAAAAGTTATTGTCTTTCCTTCTTCTTCCTTCCTTTCCCGACCAAAATTATTCAGGGTTGACTTCAGCTTCTCTTCTTTTCACATGAATCTCCTCCGCCGTCTTCCCCCCTTCTTCTCTCTGCCTCTCCTCCTCCTCCTCCTCCTCCGCCGCGCGGCAGCCCAACCGAGCACGACCCAGGAGTACGCCCCCACGGCGCCGGAATCCCTGAACAACTTCCAGCCAAGCTTGGCGGTGGTAATTGGGATTTTAAGCATAATGTTCTCCGTCACATTCATCCTCCTAGTCTACGCCAAGTTCTGCCACCGCGGCTCCTCTGCCGCCGCTCAGGCGGCAGAGCTGCTCCGCCAACAGGGCTTGGCCCGCTCTGCCTCAAGATTCTCGGGAATTGACAAGACTGTAATCGAATCACTCCCCTTCTTCCGATTCTCCTCCCTCCGCGGCGACAGGGACGGCCTCGAGTGCGCCGTCTGCATCTCCAAGTTCGAGGACGTCGAGATCCTCCGGCTGCTGCCGCAGTGCAAGCACGCCTTCCACATCAATTGCATCGACCAGTGGCTGGAGAAGCACTCAAGCTGCCCGATCTGCCGGGCCAAGGTCAACGCCGAGGACCCAACAGTCTTCGCCTACTCCAACAGCATGCGGATGATGTGGAGCCAATCCACCGACGAGGAGACGGCGGCGGTGGTGGAAGCAGATCGGGGGATTTCTGCGGCGGAGGACGAATTGGGGCTTTTCGTACAGAGAGAGGAGAGCGGGAGACGGTCTTCGTCGAGATTCAGCATCGGTGGGAGTTTTCGGAAGGCGGGGAATAAAAGCGGCCGGAGAGAAGACCAAACTCCGATTCTGGAGGAAACAGGGGACGATGAAGAAAACAGGGGAAGGGGGAAAATTGGGTACCATAAGTTCAATCACAGGATTGTGGTCTCCGATTTGGCATTCAAGAATCGATGGAGCAGTGTCAGCTCTTCGGATTTGATGTTTCTGAGGTCCGAGATGCTTAACGACGCTGCCGGCGAGAGATTCTTCTCTCTGGATCAACAACTCTACAGCCAATCTGGCGGCGGACAGCACAAATTGGCCGGCGCCCCGCCGGCGCCATCGAGTAACGGCAATAACTACTTGTCGGCGGATGCTAATGCTGTCAACTACTCGAGGGAGATTGTGAATTCGTCGGCGGATAGGCGGGCGGTGTCGGAGCTGACGGGGGTTTCGAGATTCAGGAGCTTGGGTGTGGATTCCGTTGAGGGGATGGCGGCGGCGGCGGATGAGGAGAGGCAGAGGCAGGCGTGGATTCCGATAGTGCGAAGGACGGCGGAGTGGTTTGCCAACAGGGAGAAGCGGAAGACGGCGGCTGAGACGGTAGATGTATAGTTTAAGTCAAGGGTTTTCATTTCTATTTTTTTTGCTCTTGATTTGAAATTTTTACCCTACATAAGTTTTCCTACAAAGTCATTCACGTAACATGAGTTGTTTAACCAAATTTTGTTACGAGTATCGAAACACGATGTACAATTATCATGTTAATAAATCATACGGTGCGTGATTTATTGAGCATGTTCTTTGTATTAATTTCATGGTAAAGGAATCCGGATCGTACCGGCCGGTTCAATCGGGAATCGGGCCAATGACGAAAAGGCACCCCTACCAGCCCTTTTCTACCGTGCCGGCCGGTATAATCGGCGTAACCGACATATTCCGGTATCCCGCCCGGTTTAATGGACATTGCTAACCCTAATCGATCTTCGGCCTTCGATCTCCATATTTCACTTCGCCTGCCGCTCCTCCTTTCTCCATCCAGACCAGAACGCCGCCTGCCTACTCTGCCAGTCTGCCTGCAACTAGAGACCCACGAGGCACGATTGGAGAGATCAATTAGGGACTGCATTTTATTGGGCTTTGAGCACGGGGTGGGAGTGAGATTGGGTTTGCATTTTGCAATCGGATGCAGTTTGGTCATGGTGACGATATGTGAGAAAGAGAGAGAGAGGAAGGTGATTTTAGGGAGCGTACATAGGGGCGGGCCAAGAAACTTTTACGAGGAAAAAATGAATTGACTCTCTGTACTAGTTTGAATTTGGGGTAGGGATGGATCCATGGTATTGTTAGAGTGCTTTGGGACACCCTAAAATTTGGAGATCTCCTAGTAGTTTGAATTTGGAAGAAAAAATGTGATAGTCTTTGCAATTTACACTCTAATTATTAAAGAAAATATTATTTGTTACACTACAATCCAATTTAATCCAAACCTTAAAAACTCGCTTTGCTCGATTTTATCCAAATGAGTTTGGTCACTTTTCTAACTCATTCTTCTACGACATTTGGCAAATTCTTATCATAGTGTCAAGAATGATGAGTTATTCTTCGGATTAAAGAGATTGATGAATTAGTTCAGTTAATAGTGAAAAAAATGAATCCACCATATTAATCAATCTATTTGCTTCTTAAACTTGTTTTGATTGTAGCGGTTGAAACTGCAAGCGTTGAAAGAGTTTTTTTTCCGTTTTGCGCTACATCAACAATAAGCTTCGTAATCAAATAATGGGTATATGAAGGGGGAATCAATTTGAGGTGATGTCTTTGGTATATTCAACCTAGTGGGATTTGGAGGCATTGTTACTTTGTAGTTTGGTGCTTTCACTTTAATATATAAGCGTTCTTGGGATGTAGTTGTCAGCATGGATGTAGGCCACGGTTTCGAACTTTCTTCTTTGCAAAGAAAATGACGCATCTCTATTAGTCTAAGTAGTTAAGTATTTATGAAGGTATGACCCTAAGGACCAGAGCCGCCCATCCTTTTGTTTTGTCTTTCTTATCTCTGTTTGTTTGTTTGTTTGTTAGTTATTCAGAGTTTTTCTTATTAAGGGAATCGAGTATCGACAATGGGTGTCACCCAAGTTTTTTGATTTGGGTGCATATCGGTCATTTCACTAGTTTGGTTGAAAAAAAAGTCGTCTTTGAAGGGAAAATCGTGAACACACTAGGAGCTTTCTACAATGTGAAGATCTTCATGGACCGAGATCGGCTCGTTCATAATGTCTGTTTGTTGGCGATAACGGAAGAGGAGATCGCATAGTTGCCACCTAGCTAGTCCCCAGAGAGAGGGGGTCACTCTGGAGTTAATTAGACGGCTTTGTTCGTTTGATCGATGTCTGGTCATGCGTCAGTTGGTGGCTTGATAAGAGATCATATATACATGACGCTCGTAATTAATATTGAGATAGGCGAAATTGAGCGTCGTCGTGGAAGGGCTCAAGATGATGTGTAATTCTTGATACCGTTCCTGGTAGGGTTCAGTTGGGCTCATGTTGCACAGTTCAGATGCTACATAAAATATATTGGAACGAGCCTTAGCATGTCGAAGCAATATGTAATTTCTACGAGCTTGGTCGATAGAGATTGGGATGTTGTTGTCCAAAGCGGACAGTTAATATGTGCCCATGGGTCCTATGGTGCAGGCCCTCCAAATATTAGAGACATTCACCAATAGTTTTTAAACCACCATATTCGTGGTAAATAATAAAAAAAAAAACAATACTTAGAGAATTAACCTCTAATAACTCGGATTTTTAGGAGAAACTTTTATAATAGTGTTTATAAAGTTATATCGCTCGTTTTTTACATTCCTCAAATGAAAAGCCACCCTGTAGATATGTAGTTTGAACAAATTTATTATACATTGTGTTTAAATTAATTATTAATATTGAGAATTATGATAATTTGAAGATAAAATCTTTTGATTAATCAATTCATCCTAATAGAGAGAATTTATAGTGTTATATCGTTCCCATTACACTACTATCATCATGATCCCTTCATAATTTTTCTTGGCATTTTTTAAGTGATGGAAAATAAAGCACGAAGGAATCATGACGCTATTTCCGTCCTTACTCATTTTGTTTTTATTACAGGAAGCAGGACTATAAAATATAGGAAGTTGTAATTCTATCGCGTTTTAGGTTCCTTGAATTTGTCTGCCGATCGAGCTCTATTTATTATTCCTGAATATCTGTCGTAATTCTTGCAGCATAATCATTTGTGTTACTACAATTAATTAGTGAAATTAATTTGAAGCAGCCAGCAACATGCACATTAATTAATTATTATAACCACCAATTCTTATGTGGACGTAATTTATATAATTAATTACCAATTTTAGTCCTTAATTCATTTATTGTATATTAGTAGCTATTTCTGTCAGCTAGGGAGGGGCAATGGACGGGTTTGGTGGATTTTGGTTTCAAATTGACCCACCCGCCTACTAGCGAGTTGGAATAACTGTGACCCGCAATCCACCCACACACTTCTACGGGTTGGGTTGGGTGGGTGGCGTATGGGTGGGGTTGGGTTGGATCGTGGGTCAACCCGCAAAAGCAATTCGCCAACTAGCCATTAAGAAAGTTGACTAACATTTATAATAACTTCATAGAAAATAAGTAAGATTGTATCAATAATTTGTGATTTTTATACAATTAACAATTCATAGTTTGCATCTTAATATTTGATGGATATTAACAATAATTTGCATACCAATATTAAATATCTAATGGATATTGCACAATACAGTAACCAATAATAGTAGTCAAAACTATTCTTTATTCTCCACCTTTTGAAGTATATGGTCAGACTGTAGTGCAGTTCAAAAATATGATGGTATTCAATACTATAAGAAACAAACCTTTTCATGTAAAAATAGGATGCTGGTCATACGGGTGACCCGCAATCCACCCACCACTTACCCACATAAGTGTGGATGAGAGATATTTCAACCCACACTACGGAAAAAGTGGCATTTGCCAACACGTGAAAAGTGCTGTAAAAAGTGTCGAAAATGTTGTCTATGCAATATGCAACACTTTTAGTAGTGTCACCTATAAGTGGTGTTACCTTAAGTAATATGTAACACTTTTTTCACTTTTTGTAACAAAATAAGAAGTGTTGCATATAACACTATTTTAAGCAACACCTCCGAAATTTTATGCAACACTTTTGGAAAAGTATAACCAACTCGACGATTTTTATTCATGGCAGGTTTTGTTGTCACATAAAATCTACTCAATTGTGACAACTTTTGTTTGTAATGACTGGTATACATTTGTGACTTATATTTGTCGTCACCAAATGCATCTCATATGCTACGAATTTATGTTGTCACAACTGCCCCACCTCTATTGTAATAGTTTTGTCACGAAAAGTGGTTTCGTAATGGCTTTATTGTTACAAAATTAGGTTTTTGTGACAAAATTATCGTCAAAAGTCAAAACTGTAACAATATTGGTGACGAACTTTCTAAATAAGTCACATGATACATTTGGTTACTATAAAAGTTGTCACGAATGAATATTGTTGGGTCTAATGCTCCTGTCACAAACATCTATATGCAATAATATTTATTTAATAATAATAAACTCAATTCATTATGAAATAATGAAATGCATTATACACTTGATCAAATACATACAATCTCAATTATAATACAAACTAAATATAGCAGTATGTTTGATACATTGCTAACTACTATTGATCAATGAATATCAATATTCACAATGAGTAACAACTATTATCCGAGCCTATCACTTAAATATCTAACATGCTACTAGAAATTAAAATCTTCTGAACCAACTCGATCAGATCCGTTCGAAGCTTGCACTTTATGAATTTCCAAAGAGGCAAGCACAAATCATCGGCAGACTTCATAATCCAACTTGGCGGAGTGAGCATGAGACACCCACAATGTTATCATTGACAAGTAGATGAAAATGTTCCCATAATTAATACATACATACTCACCCATGGAATGAAAAGGCAAATGATCGAGCAAATCAATATGAAAGGCTGGAGCTACGTCGTCAACCTGAATTCCATATTAGAAACAACAACGTTTGAACACTGAAAAACATTATGAAAAACATTTTCTCAAAAAAGTGATCAGTTAGAGATTGAACATCTTCTCAAAGTTGCATTTTATTATCACTCTGAATACCAATTCATGAGTTCCTCTAGCCTACGGATATTTGGAAGTATGATATCATCATCTCATATTATATTACATAAATAAATGGAAGACACAGAGTTCGATTCGGAACTCAATCCTAGAATTACCTTAACTAAATTAAAAGCTAACAACCAATCCTATTTTTTTTTTTTTTGTTAAGCGTGAGAATACTATTGAAAAAACTTGAAAGAGAAAAGAGGTACATCAAACAGAAAAACCTCGATCGAGCTCTCACAAGAGATGAGAGCCAAAAGAAACAAAGAAGAAAAGGTGAACATCAAACCCTAGAGAAATAAATTGAAAGGAGAAAAAGAAAAAACGAATATGATCTTACCTTTTAATTCCACCAAATCGTGGTATTCATGCTCTCATCAATCTT